AGAGAGAGAGAGAGAGAGAGAGAGAGAGAGAGAGAGAGAGAGAGAGATGGCATATCGTTTAGCCGTTTGCTTGGAGATCAAATGCTTTCAAATTTCGACAAGTCTTTCAATTCTCTTTCAAATTTATTGTTAATTTTTTGCATCATAACATTATAAGCCAATTCCTTTAAATAAAACAACAAGAAAATACCTGCACGGATAGCACAAGCACAACAAGAAAAGTAAAAAATAAGACGACCTTTGTCAACACAAGAACAAAATACAGTCAAAATGCTATGCTGGTTTTGGCGGTGAGAATGGACGGGAGGACTGACTGACTTTCAGCTCATTTTCTTCTGACACAATAAGGATGGACTGAAGGCCGGCTGAAGTCCTAAAACTCTTCCGTTTTAACAGTAAATCTACTATATGTGTAGCAGTAGACCCCATTTACTAATAAAATATTATACGCTAGTCAGGACCCCTTGTCCAAACAATAATAAAGCAGTGCTCACCGAGTACGAATATTTCATGCAGTAACAAGGTCAGAGTATCATACCACTAATACTGTGCCACTCTTGGATGAAATGACCTGTTGGAGTGTGTTTCAATTGGGGGGGGGGGGGGGTGAAACTGTGGTGCTGATGGAATTTTTGATGTTCAAAGTGTATGTTGTAAATCCCTCATTATGTATTTCCAAATGTTTTCTAGTGTTTTTGTACTTAAGTGTCGGAACTTTAGTTTGAAGTGTTCTTCCTTAATGGATTGTGATGGTCATCCAGTTTTTAGCTTCACATTCTAAGATCGAGAAAATAAAACAGTTATTTGTTGTTGGGGTTAGGGGGTGTTGATATTGTTTGTATGTTTGGGTTTTTGTCTTTTATACCTGGTTTTTACCTCTGACAGACGAAGATGAACAAGCTATAGAATTGAGTTTACGCTTCTTTATTCAGTATATGAGCGTAATTTGTTTTTTAACAAGATTAAAAACGTCTGTTTGAAGTAAGTCCCTGTAGGTACCTTCCCCATATGGAGAGCCGTGGAAATCCAAGCTATCATTTTAAAAGATTGTCGAGCTTGAAATTCAAAGCACATATTATGTATTGAACTTGCTGGGGAAAAAATGAAAGTAAATTCCTCAAATAATAAATTCTCACTTATCTTCTAAAAGTTAGTGAGGAGTTCCCACTGACCAAATGAACATTCATTGACCTAAAGAATACACACATGTGTTTATGAGACGACAGCAATATTTACAAGAATATAACACACACACACACACACACACACACACACACACACACACACACATTGTATTTGTGGTTGTGTGTATGTGTGTTTGTGTGCGTGCATGTGTGTTTGGACGAGTGGGTGCTAAAGCACAACCCGATAATCGTATTAAAATTTGTAGTACGCTACCTGCAGACCGTTTGTGGTCATTGTTTTATCATCACGCAACACCCCCTTCCCTTCCCCCTCTTTGACTAAAAATAGCCATCCCTATATGGCTTCAGTGGACTGACTCGGTGTTCATCACCGTAAGACCTGTTCGTGCTTCATCTTTTCATCATTGTCCTACACACAGTGACGACTGCTCAAAACGCTGTTTCTTAAAACGATGATTTAATGAAATGACAGGAGAGACGCTCACCAGCGCTCTTCTTTCCTCTCCTCTCTTGGGGGCAGTTTCATCGGCGCTTGGTTCATAGTTTTAGTAGAGACACACAGGACGCGTTTGGATATTGTCCGGTGAGCAGGATTTCTTGAGTCATATGCAGTACCGGTAATCAATTTGGACGTGAGATACTACTTGTAGCAACAACTACACTCATGGTAAGTAGACCTTGATCTAGATTCTAGATCTAGTGTTTGATTATAATTTTTGAGAACTCGGGTCTATGGAGTGTGTAATTTCTGAATTTCAAGTCGAGGATGGTTTCAGGGCGTCAAGGATGGGCCCCACTTCGTTTCTCTCTCTCTGTGGTTTTTGTTTGCGTTATTGTTTCTCTGAACTTAATGGCCCCATCGCTGTGTCGATGTTTTTCTTTAACCAAACTTTAAAAGGCGAGTAATGTTGGGGGAAATCGACTGAGAGTTCATAATACTGTGTCATGTTCCATCATTAGGTTAGGCCAAGTTTAGAACTGTGGGAAACCTTGGTTATACTTTATACAAACAAAAAAAAGCCTTGCTTTTCGGAGTTCCCCAGGAAGTTATTTATTCTGGCGACATAATTCTAAAAGGGTTGAGAACACTTAAGTACAAAAACCCTAGAAAACATAGATCTTGATCTAGATCTAGATCTAGAGCATTTAAAATGTTTTAATTTGCTTTCGAATCTTGTGCTCACCCTTCCTTGCGTTGTCAATAGAATTTGCCGTTGCCTAACATCGCGAACCGACGTATGTGGTGTCCTTTGGCTCTTCGCTGTCGATTTCAGAAAACAGTAATCAACCTAGCGCAAAACTTCTTTAAAATGACTCCAAAGCTTATTGTTCTATGGAACTCACACTCTGTGGCACCCCGTGATATAGAGCAGTATTTCCGTACCCAATTTTTCTGCTGCAATGTAGCTTTTCCTTGTTTCTTTTCCTGAATAGCAGCTTGCACTTCTTCCAAAATATTACTTTAATCTTTTAAAAGTTATCCCTTGTGTTCTGGCAATCTGTTTTAAACTCCCCCTTTGTGTACTGAAACATTTCTCCCATTTGACCTGATACCTTATTAAAACACCCTTTTCCACTCAATTCTTCAGATTTAGTCATGCTTCCGAGAGCATAGTCTATTTCTTACATCAAGAGAAATTCTTGATTGGTGTTTTAGGAATCTTATTAAAAATTTGGGTTGGTGCTATCTTTCAATTTTTTTTCATCTTACCTATGACAGATACAAAATCGCAGTAGTGATATCTGCTCCTTGCACCTGTTTTGAAAAGTTAATAGCGTTTCTGAACGTCTGTGTACGAGTATAAAGTCTTTTTTCTTTTCTTGCCACATTATCTCCAGGACTCTTATATCACCTTCTTTGTTCTTAGACTTAGTCATTTAGAGTCATTCGCATCTTCTTCCGCAGGGCAGCAATATCATGTTGGAGTGATGTGGAAGCAATGCCGTTTAGATTCCTTGACTTGAGTGTTATGGAATAATTCCTGCATACACAAAATTAAACACCATTGTTGATGTGGAGTCGTTAACTCTCGTCAACCTTTATCAACTACGCCCGAAAGATGGACGTAGCTATTTCTGACTGAACAACCTGCCCCACCATTCCCATCATTGTTTTCACCACCCCCTTGGCTGTCAGGTTGTCCCGAGAGGGGGGAGGGGGGTCTTTGGGTTCCATTATTTTGCTACTAATTCCCTCCCAACCAGTGGATGGCTCTGAGGGAGGGCAGTTACCCGTAAAGATGACTACCTCATCTATCTGTTCTGTCTGTCTGTCTGTCTGTCTGTCTGTCTGTCTGTCTGTCTGTCTGTCTGTCTGTCTGTCTGT